GTCTTTGTTGAAATTGCAGTGTCTTTCTTCCGATTCGCGAAGGCATACAAAACACGAGTTCAGATCTCGGTGAAACTTGAAGGGCGCCCTCATCAACTTGGAAGCTCCACCAAGACAACAGGTGGCCTTATATTTCTTTCTCAGCACGTTTCTGCAGGCTCTTCTGTGAAGGCACTTTCTGCAGATTAAAGGGAGGATGGCCACAATGACGGCGGCGGCCCGGCAGACGGTGTCTTCTGTTTCGGGTTTGGCGCATCTTAGCGGTGCTTCGCATTTGACACAGGGAGCAGCGGCTTGCCCCTCAAGCCGGATCTTTCCTTCAGTTCAAGGCAGCAGAACAAGGCAACCAGCAGCTAGATCTGTTATAGTGAGGGCGGCGGAGAACGAGTCCGAGGGCGGGCAAACAGAGGTGAGGACTGGGACAAGCAGAATGTGCTGTTTGACATTGAGAGTGGTCGCATGTGTCCAGATGATCGAGCTGTCAGCTTTGGCTCTGTAAAGACCGTAGCTTGTTTTCTTGTTGGCGGCGGATGGTTTTACTACAAGCAGAAGGTTCCGATTATGATTTGAAAAGTTGGAGCGTATGAGGGAAAAGGTTTGGGAGATTATGTTTTGGTGGGAAGGAGACACAATGTGGTGGGAAATGCACAAAATATTTAAAGTAATGGATGCGGGGAGTCTCTGGCTAACAGCATTAGTCGAGTGCCCGGGCAGTGCATGTTCTGCATGTAAGCAAGTCCAAGCAACTACTACTGTTACCCTGGAATGCAACTTGCGGGAGCTTAGACGCATTCGGCGCCTTCCTTAGAAGGCTGGCAAACCAGCACAACGTCGGGACAACTTTTAGGGTTGGTCCCTGCTTAGATTTTGCAGGTTTGGAATCTACCCATTGTTCAAACAGTTCCCTTTCAGATTGCCGAGAAGAGGTTGGGCATCAGCCCTTTGCTTGCGGTGGCACTGTTCGTATTTTAGGCTTGAACGTATCGTCATGCTTTGGCGGCTCGTCAGCATGTCTTCAGCTAAGGATATGTTATGCATTGGTGCATCCGTTCATCTTGAACGATCTCGATGGGAGGCGATCCACATGAAACTATGCGTCTCATTCTTGAAGCCTACTTTAAGTCTCTTGCAAAAATGTTGTCCCCCAAGGCTGTACGCTTTCTTCAGCATTGTATTTGTTGACAGGGGCTTAGCATGGCACAGGTGTCCTTTCTCTTGCTGCGGTTGCCTGGTTACCCTGCTCTCTGCAACCTAGCAAACAAGTGACAAACGAGCGACGAATGCAGAAACAGAAATACTTGCGACCGAGAATGAACGAAATGCATCATTTCACTCTCAGGTGAGGCCGCTTGGGCGAGGAGGCCCGTCTTCAGACAATCGGAGGTGGGGTTACACAGAGTTTGACTCAGCGGGGCAAAAGAACATTTATGCCGTTGAGGTAAGGCACGTTTTCCTTATCTTGGTCAGTGAAAGCTCGTTGTGCAGACGCAGCGACATTGGCGCACTGTCGCTGATTTAGGGCACTGACATGAGGCATGTCATACTCCGTCTTGTTGGCTGTGTTACTTGTGCCATTGATGCTGGCACTTCACGCAGCAGTTCGGCAAGAGTCTCAGAAAGTCGAGTGGACTTGACGCCCTGCTCACTCGCTCGCTCATCATCAGCCGGTTTAGCGAACTTGTTGTTTCGCCTGAGACAGTTCTCTGGTAGTCGATGTCCGTCAGAAGAGAGAGAGCGGCTTGGAAGGTGTTTAGAGACAGTGCTTTTCATTGGCAGACTCATGGGTGGCGTGTGGTACACAAGACAATCCGGTCAAAAATGTTTTGATGGGGGCTTCCAGGGCACTGAGCTCAGTACTTTCTCGTTTTCGCAGCCGAAAATCTATGTCGCAGACAACGCTTTTAGCACGGGGAAGAAAGGTACCGAGGGGCAGGGAAGCAGCACCCTTGTCTTTCTTGGTGAGTGGGCCCTTCGCGCTGCAGGAGCGAATGTTCTTACCTAAGCCCTTGGCAGCAATCCAGTCGTAACCAGGATTAGCTTTCCTTCCTAGCTTCAGTCTGTACATTCCTACACCATCTCGTTGGCGTTTCGAGTCATAGCTTGGGGCTTTGCAGCTGTAAAAGCCCTCTGTCAAGTGTATCCAGTTTCGTTCACTTTGTACAAAGATATCCTGTACCTAGATACCTTAATCAGAGTGAATGGAACTCAAATACGTTCGTCAGCCTAGACAGAAGTTTGTGGGTTTATGCACTGCATGCTTGCACTTTTCCGCCTGTCGGAATACTAATGTAAGCAAAGAATATAATATCGTCACATGTCCTAGAGCTGCTTCTACACGTAGTTTGCTTAAGGTCTTCCAACAGTTGGACAACTACTCAATTGACGACGGTTGCGAAACTAACCAAATAAGCCGAAACGAACCTAGACGCATTGACGACGGTTGCAAAACTAACTAAATAAGCCGAAACGAACCTAGACGCGTTGAACGCTGTTCCGCTGTTTACTAAAAGACTAGCTCTACAGTCTTAACCAGGATTCAGGTCGTCCCTTTGTGGGGACCACACCTCGCATATCATACCTATGCTACTTTGTAGGTCCCACTGCCCTTTGCTCTCTTCCAGTTCGACTTTTCCATCTTGTCTGTTTCGCTTTTTATTCCGGCACTTCATACTTTTGTCACCTTCCCTTGTCTTGTTTCACTCTGTAGGATTTGTCCCACCCTTAACGCCTACCGTTCGTCTTGCAGGGATTGGCGCTGCAGTGGCTGTCGGAGCCGTTGCCAGCTTAAACCTGCTGGGCAACGCCCCATCTGCGGCTCCCAGCGCTGCTATTTCCACCGTTGCGGGCGTAGATGTTCCCCCTCTTAGCTTTTACATTGAGAAGTTTAGTCAGACGCCGAGCCTAGATTCAGCCTCGCTTCCAGCTCCTGAAGTGAGCTCGAAAGCGATCGCATCCGCTGCTGAGGTTATTCCCGAGGCTGCTGTTTCAGCCGAGTAGGTACATGTACGATAGTTGCAAAGCTAGTCTCTTATTGGTATCGGATATTGAAGCGAGGGAGGTGTTTGTTGTGTTGACCATTTTTGCAATGAGCTCTATGGCTGGGTATGAACCCCTGCCGTTGCTATTACCGTAGCAAGTGACCACACGGTGCACTTGAAGAACTCTTTGTTGTTCCGTGCATCCTGTCGCTCCGCATGCCCAGCCAGACTACTAGTACAAGTTCATGCAATCACGTTTCCCCATTAAGTGTTAAACCTCAAGGAAGTCAAGTGCATGTTGCACATGTCAACCTGAGAACTAATTAGACTAGAGCTCAAGCTTAGAGATTACAGACCATATGCATATCTGGAGCTGCATCTGACCCGAGCATGCACGCCCTGCGGCACATGGCTGAACATCGAAGAAGTGCATATCGACTCGTGCAGCGTGCATGATGCCAGCGCATGTTGCATAACGCATAGAATACCGACATTCCACGCTCACGTCATCGTCGAAGACGGTAGGATTTTTCCACTCGTCAATCGGACACTCTTTGTGTATTCAATATTATACTGAAGCGTGCCCATGTGGTTATCAACCCTCAAACCTGTTTTCAAATTGGTATTTCAGGCCGCCTCTCAACTTGCGGACACTTGGCGATAGCCCAGAGATGATCGACGTGTATTAACTGGACCTGCACCTTTCAGCCTGTGTTCTTGTAGTTGAACGCCACTAGAACAACTAAGAGACTGCCACTTCAGTGAGTTCAATACCAGTATTGGTATCTGCATTGTTGGCAAATAATTGGCACGCAAATGGGCGTGACAATTCGTGCCAAGACTCGGCTGCTATCTTTGCACTGCCCCTTCGGATGGTTTTGACCCTTGTCTCCGTGCGTCATCCAATGCATCTGAGAAGGTCTGAAGTGCGGCTGACACTTCTGCCGAACTCTGCACAAGGGGGAAAGCACTGCGTTGCTGCACCTGATCCGACAAACACACAAACCTGGAACAAGGGCTGTTTCGAAAGCGCTCTGCTTGCCCAAAGAACGGCAAGTAGTAAACAGGAGCTTCTTGGCAGTGATAAGGAAAGTAGAAGTATCTTGATGATCCTCAGCCGTTTTGCTAAAAAATCACCACACATGCAGGCGTCGACAAACCAATGTGTCTTTTAACCCGTCTTTCTAGCCCATAAAAAGACGCCAGTCGCCTCGAACCTAAGTCGAAGTGACCAAGCAAGCGGAGAGAGCGGCAGAACGTACCTTGCCGTCAATAGTCAAAGTGAAGCGGTCTTTCGTGTCAGTTGGATGGCTGTCCGTGTGGAAATACCCTGCAAACAAATACACAAACCATGTCATGAGGCTTTCAGGGGCAAAGTGCCGTCGGTTATCCAATTCGTGCCCGGCACTAGACTAAGGCTCTTATGCGCTTTGGCCAGCAATTCTGTCGAAGACACTCAACAAAGACCAAGATAGCGCTGGCAAGGCCCCGTGGATGACCGGCAACTTTCAGAAATGGGCAAAGTAAAGATAGTTGCTGAAAAGGATCCTATTTGATTGCCCACAATCAGCGCTTCTCAATCGACAGGAGCATCACGCAGTATCTCGCCGTACTAGGAAAGGCACTGAACTGTTTGTCAGATCTCCCAATTAGATTTGTGCTCTCACCGCGCAAGTCACGAATGCAATGTACAACTCTTGTAGCTACAGCTTTCGAACAATTCTACAACACTATCCAACTCGCCTCGGTCTAATTCCCCTCACCAATCTGCAGGCCCGGGAAGTCCCGCATCGTCCGCAGCATCGCCGCCGCAGCCTCCCGGTCGGTCGCCTCTATTTCCGCGGTCCGCGTCACGAAGGGTTTAAGGGGTTTGAGCAAGTCCCGCCGGCCGCGGCTCAGCTCCTCGAGCGCCGCCAGCTGTGCTTCGAGAACCGGCGACCGGCCCGAGACAACGACGACGTTCTTCACTTTCAGCTGGGAGGAAACGGGAGATATAGGGCATCAGTGTGCCATCGAGTGTGGCACAAGCAGATGAGCTCCGCACAGCTTATTTACAATCTGTGACCTGATATACCAAAAACGGCAGTCCATGCAAAGTTACACAGTGGTCAATGCTTGCCCGCCTTTTCCAAGCTTTGGCTGGCGACGGCAAACAGTATTTTGATACTACAGAGTTTGATTCCACCGTTCTGCAAGGCAGCTGTCTTGCGCTATCTCAAGGCGATGCATTTGCAGAGGCTAATATGAGTAGAGGGTGAGGAGACGGCATCTGCAGTCTAAGATGACGAAGAAGGAAAACGGAGTCAAGGGCTCACGAGAGGAAAAGCATCCCCCGAAGTCGGCAACAGCTCGGTTATGCCTTCCGGAACTTCGGCCAACTGCGAGAGGACACGTACCCGTTTAGCTTTTGCAAAGCGCTTGAGGCAAGCATCTGAGGTATTTTCCGTTTTCCTGCACTGGTGACAAGTTTCGTCAGTGCAAGGACCTTGTTGGGATTGCTCTGCACGCCGAACGCTTCAACAGACTCCTTGGCAAGCCGCAAAGCGAGAATGTTCTCAAGAAAGCGGCACTGTAAGAAGCGGTCTAACAGACCTCTAAGCCCCTGGTTGCGACGGCCTCCCTAAGCCACTCTGCGTAAGTGATTACAACCACATACTGCCGACGCAAGTGAGTGCGCTCCTGTTCGAGAAGACCTTTATGCAGTGAGATGGCTGTGGTTGGATACGCCGATACTGGGTAGACATCTAAGAAGGCATCCGGTGACACTGGGTAGACATACGCTTATACTAAGAAGAGATACGCTGACACTGAATAGACACTGAGAAGAGATGCGCTCACACTGGGTGCTCATACGCTGACACTAAGAAGAGATACGCTGACGCTGGACAGAAATACGCTGAAACTAAGAAGAATACGCTCACACTGGGTACTCATACGCTGACAATGCGCGGAAAATAGGTAGAATCTTGCTGACAATGGGCGGAAATGCTGGGGAGTACCTTCAGGAAGGTAGGCGTATTGTCCGTCCCGTGAATCCGTTGCAACTCCGCCAGCAACTCCGCATCGGACGTAAGCCTGACGTCAAACGCCTTGGCCACGCCGTCAAGGGTGACGTCACACAGGGCGGGGCCGACTCCCCCGCTAACCAGGACCTGCAGGAAGATGCTTTTTTTCCGACTTGCTCGCCATGCTTCTTCTCTAATCCGTCACTGAAGCGGAATGATATGCTGCAATTCCAACACAACCCCACCTGTGTTGAACCAAGTGCCGTACTCTTGACTTCACCCAAGGATTCGAAGATGGAAGGTCGCAACAGCAATCGACCGGTTGTCGCTTCTACGAGTTTTGCTTATTGGAGGTATACCGAGTACGTACGAGATAGCTTGTCTCCGTTAGAATTGGACGCTGCTTCTGGTCTACTGTCGGTCTGCCACAATACTGACCATAGCCGACAGAGCTTGTAAACGATCTGGAAAACGGAGAATGAACACAAACGAAAAGCGGACTCGACCAAGAGGCACGAGATTTTTGCACCGACTGCACAATCAAATGTTCGCGAAAATAGCAATTTCGAGGAAGGGCCTCTTTCTTTCATGCAATGCGGCTCGTGACTTTGCGGAAGATCCAACAGCAGAAGGGGAAGGCACGCCGAGGACATTCCCAAAGGAGATGCCCTAAAAGAGACAAGAGAGGAACGGCTGAAGCAGACGATGGAGAAGCGCGAACTCACGAGGTTGCTGGCCAGCGCATGTTGCTGCATTTCTGCGACGGCACTCTTGAGAATGAAGGAATAGGACTGAGACCCTAAAATCCAGATGTTGCTGGACCCTAGAACCACGAACTTACGAGATCGCTGTCCCGCGCGTGCTGCTGCACCTCGGCAAAGACGGCGTCAATATCGTCCGGCACGACCACGACGCGCCGCAGCAGCCACCCCGCGGCCCGCAGCCGCTTGCTCAGGAGGGGTGCCCGGAAGTCGCTGACGTCACCCCGCCTGCAGAAGGAAGAGCCATGACGTGAGGGACCCCCTGAGGTCACTTCCCCCCCGAGTCAACAATCGAGGTGATTAATCTGCAGCCGCTCACAAAGCTTACGGCCCGTCAGTAAGGAGCAGTGATGGATGGGCCGACGTCACCCCTTTGGGAGGCGGGACAGCTGATGTCAGATGGGCTGCCGATGGGTGCTAGATGCAGGGGAACGCACTGGATCTTTGAACGCTGTTTTGCTAGGGGAGAAGGGTGCAAGAGACTGGTTTGGACGCTATTTTGGGCCGTTCGAGGTCGCAGATTGAAGATCGTCAAGGACGTAAAACAGCACTTCTGCAGCTCTGCGAGACGTCCTCGACGAAGAAAGCTTGTTTCCTCAGATGCAACGAACGAGAGCAACGGTCACTTGTACATTGACAAATCGACGACATCAGGGGTAAACTAAAGGAAGAACAGACTTTGATTGCCATTTGCACCGGACTGATCACATCGTGTTTTTGATTGCCACTTGCATGGGACCGATTTTACATCGTGTTCAAAGGAGCGAGAGTCGGCGATAAACAAAAGCCGCAAGCAAGCAACTCAAAGCATGCTCAGCGCAGTCTACTCACAACAACTCGTCTCCCACAACGATAACCGAGGCCACCATGATTGCCCCCTTCTCCTGCCCGCTCGTCGACACCTCCCCTCGCCGTTCCGACGCGCTGACGTCAGCACCCCCAGCCTTCCCCTCCGCTGACGTCACCTTCTTCTTGAACCTGCCTGAGCGTTCTAACCTCCCGTCCCGCAGTTCGTTGGCAGGGCGGTAACGGTACCCGTCCGTTCCGACGCTCTCTGTAAGACCGTTTCCGTTCGGCTGCCCCGTTCCGCTCGCTTCCGGGGTTGTCTCGTCTTCTTCGATCCGGAGCGCGGGGTTTGGAATCGTGTCGTGGATGTTTCCGATCGATGTGTAGCCGACGTCGTAGAGGCTGCAGTAGGAGACTTGGCAGGCGAGCAGGAAGTCCCACACGTCACTGCACGGTTCAAGCAAGAGCCACGTCAGCACCCAGTTCGGAGTGACGTCGTGGCATCTAGTTGCTGATGTCGTGCAGGCTGAGGGTCTTCAATCGGAAGGAACGACGATTGGTCTTTTGCAATGCGAAAATAAAAATCATTGAGATCACATCAAGACCCGTTCAAAGATTTGACATCTGCCGTTTTACAAGCAGATGAACACAATCAAGATAAATTCACTCCAATTCTGAATCTGGGGAGAAAGCATTGATCATGAAGCAGCTCTATGTGAGGTCACGAACCCTTGATGGCACATGTTAAAATCCCCCTCCTTGTTTTCGTCCGTTGAGCAGACTTTTATCTTCAGAAACTTCTAGGATTCGACAGATCGACTAAGCACACAGAGCTTCAGCGTATCCAAACACGTTGTTAACAACATTTCAACATTAGACTTGTCTAGATAGAATCATCCATCAAACCCAACCCCATGAGCACCTTTTCTTCCAAACTTCAGAAGGCAAGGTGGAGGATTCCACCACACATACGAGTTCCGATTTACTTCCAGATCAGCACTCACTGGTACGACCAATCTAGGATCGGGTTGACCCTCATGAAGGCGGGCCAGCCCTTGCTGCTCGGAGCAAACACCTCCTGGCCGCGCGCGTTTGGGTCCCCCGCTCTAGTTCCCAGGAAGATCGCCTTGATTGGCCGCTCTGCAAGGACTTTCTTCAAACCGCTAAGGAAGTCTAGCCGGATCGTTTCGAGCGCTAGGTGATACCTGCAGTTACCAAGGGGCTGCTTGATGCGGGGACGAAGAAGAAAAGTTGATTGATTTGATACATTAAATATTTTTGAAGGGAGGCGTCAAAGAGCGTGAGGTCGAATTGAGTGAGCTTTGCCAGCGACGCTTGGCAGAGTTGTTTCACTCGTCCCATGATTCCTTGAGGAGAATGAAAACCTGCTTCAGGCTGAATAGATAGATGCAGATAAGTTTTTCGAAACCAGACGGAGAGACCCTCTACCTTTCCGGAGGGGCAACTCCAATCAGAAACAGGGCCTGGTCCTTGAGAATCTGGTACAGATCCTACAGACAAGGGTAATCACCCCAGCACCGAACAGGTCTGGAAAGCCCCTCACTATAAGGCGGGAATGTCTAAGAACAGAGCAGGCCGACTGACAGAGGTCACTATCATCTTAAAGAGCTGCTCCTCACCGTTGTGCGCAGTCCACAGTGAACGAATGGATTTCTGGAAATGTTTCCGGATTCTCAAAATAGATCGTCCGTATGGGGTGCTCTTGGGTGACCGCTGGACCATTGCTCGCCTGGCCTTTCAACAGAGTGTGGCTTGAGCTGTCTGCCGCCGCGTAGCCTGCTCTGAGGAGATGCAAGAGGACCTGTCGCAAAGCAGCGGAGAATAGAGTTTGTCAGGCAAGGGGAATATTGTTCAATCCTTACGAGGCAATTTACGTGATTGTGATATGAGTTGAAGAATGACAGCGCCTTGAGTCCAAAAGCAATTGGATCTTTGATTTGACAGAAGCCACTACAGTGATTGTCCTCAAGGGTTGTTTTAGCCCCCCGAAATGTATTCTTGGCTCAGTGAGAATGCTTGAGAAGTCATACTCCAGAAGAGGCATGACGATGATTGGCAGTATAAGATGGAGGCGTCAATTCATGAGACCTGGATGCTTGGTGGTGCTCTTATGTACCCCAAATCATCAAGTATTCCTCCAATCCCCATCTTCAAAATATCCACGTCGACCATGATGAAAATACGCAACAAACATACCGACAATCTTACAAAGAGACAACGGCGTCAGAATGTTTTCTTCAAAAAAGGCGAAGTCGATGGCACCAAGACAATATCCTCGATTGGCTGGTAGATGCGGTCAGAAAAAGGGCAGTGGCGCAAACCCTCCATCAAAGTGTCGACAAATGGTAGGCTTTCAAGGTAAATGCAAGCTCCAATAGGCGTGGGTCGCTGAATTCCAAGTGAACAGTGGTAGGAGTGGTACTTCTTTTGGAAACCCTTGAGAGGAGTCTCTCCAAGCGGTTAGGTTGAACCGAAATGTTCAGCAGTAGAATACCAGTATTTCTGAGCAACTCAATGCTGCAGATCAGCATTGACGACTGTCTGCCAAAGTGTTGAAGGTAGACAGGCTGCATTCTAACGCAGAAGCCAGGCTGCCATGCTCAGCAATCCAAAACCCTTCTTATCTGTATGTACGCTGGTCATTGATAAGGGCCGAAGATTCTTGTCCAGGACAACCAGCTTTCAGTGTGACTTATGCAAACAGCTACAGATATTTATCGCGGACTTCCGAAAAGCCCTCCTTTGACAAATGGTTTCATTTGCTGACCAGGAAGAGCTTATTCCGAAATCTACACTTCTCAACAGATCCATTCAACAGATCTGCAGTTTCAATTAATTCCCTAATACCCCCCCAAAGCAACTTGCTCTTGTCTCTTCCAAGCACATTCATTGGTTTTCATTACTTACAGTTGAATCTTTTCCACCGTTGAAGCTGAATGCCAGCGCGTCGCAGCCATACAACTCGATCGTGCGCTCAATGTGGCTCATTGCTTTCTTGAACCGGGCTTGCAGGCCGGGGTTCCCACATGATTCTATGGCTGCAAAGATCTCCATGGCGAATCCTTCTCTTTGCAATGCTGAAGTCTTCTAAATGAATAAGATAGGTTCTACAAATTTCAGCTGGTTGCGGCAGAGCTTCCAACCATTGCAGGTCGCCATTTGTGGATATAACTTTAAGAGACGGCCCCCATGCAGCTAGGACGGTTCCGAGTCTGCTCGTTTTGCTGCGCGGCTCGCGGCGGCCCCCCCGCGGTGCGCGGGCCCGCCGGGCGGGGTCATGCACAGAGCTTTGAAAGTTCCCTGCCGTTGGATCGATATTGGTACCCAACTGTCGACCATCGATTGTAAAGTTTCTGTGTGTGAGGGGAGGATGGACGGGTTAGCAGGCCGTTGGTTATTCGCGGAAGGTTGCTGCTCACATTACTGTTGAGGCAACACACGCCTCTTAGCTCCTACAGTGGTCCGCGATATTTCTATGAATGACTGCACTGAGGTTTCAAACACCATCAAGCATTTCTCGGTTGACCGATCTGCTGCTGAGTCGGTGTCAGCACGAGTTTTCCGTCAACATGATAACAATCAAGATGATATGTTGCGAGGTACCTTGGAAGAATCAACGGTAAATCTATTATCAGTGATGCTTTTCTGGCGCGAATACATGCAAATCTTGGAATATCTAGTACTCAACCCTCCAGGTTATTTCCAAGACACAGCCTAAGTTCTTACTAAAACGCTTCTATACAACACACGAAGCATAGAGAGCCTTAAATTGAGCTCTCTAACATCATCCGATTTACATTGAGGGAGCACACAGTGCGAAAGTCTCGAAAGTCTCGACGCGGCATTGCATACCAACCTTCAATAATCTCATGCGGGGGTGTCGAACTGTCCGAGGCTGGGCTTGGTAAGTGCGACGGAAACCGCATTCAAGTTAGTGGCACGAGGCTCGTCAGCTCAGGCAGCTCCGCGGCTTCGCTCTTGAGCTCGGGCTTGGCGCGCTCAGTAAAGTTGCGTTACGCTTTGGATCGAGACGACCCAGCATGTGATTCTCGCTTCAAGTCTCGCTTGATGCTTGAAGCACTGACGTCACTGCCGAGTTGGCCCGCGAGAAAATACCAGATCGAGTTTCGCCTTTCCAAGACATTCGGTCTTCATGCCAGTGACTCCGAAGCTGGAGTAGAAACAGTCTTGCGAAGTAGAGTCGGTGTGAGAAAGGCGCCAATGTCAGAGTAGAGGCGCCATGCACTGGTTATCAGCGTTGCTGGAAGACGACGCGCAGAGCAGGAAAATAGATCAACGTATTTGTAGGCAGGAAATTTCTCCGTGCATGCTGGTGGAGCACACAACAGACGGCTGAGCATATGGAGATGAGGCCTAGTCATGAAGCATGCGCGAGCAAAGGCACCAAAGCGTTGACCTCAGATCTGCCGAAAGGAGCTCCAGCCGATGCGCAAAACAGTATCTATCAAGAACATCAACGTAAAGACTGGCCCAATCATGCAGCTGCGTGTTCTTGGTAGCTGAGGAAGCCACCCACTGTAGCTCTGCTTTGCGCACTACATGGGCCCCCCTTTTGCCATCCACTCATGCGGCTTTCCAAACCGTATTTAGTATAATTCACCAATCCAATAAGCAACATGGACGACATAGAGACCCAGAAGCTGCTCGCAGACCGGCGCCGCTCCTCTGAGGAGGACAATGTGGCTGCCAACCAGCTGCATTTAAACGCCAAGGGTTTGGAGGTTTTGGTGGGCCCTTGGCAGGCAAAGAATGAGCTGGGCCCCCGTACGCCCGCTTATGGTGGTAGGGGGGCGCTTATGGAGGAGGCCAGGGAGCAGATCAGGGTGGCGGCGCCGATTGTGGGCATGAATGTGGTGCAGATGCTATTGGTGCTGACATCAGCGGCGTTTGTGGGCCACGTCGGGGCGCTGGCGCTTGCGAGCTGCCAGCTGGCAACGTCGCTGGCGAGTGCAACCGGGCACTATTTGTTGGTGAGGGAGATGGGGCACCTGCGCATTGTACTTTCTTCATGCTTTCAACAATTTTCTTGATCTGTGCATACGCTTCTTCGAGAGAGCGATGGTTAATTGTGTTGTTAGGAACTGAGATCATGCTCTTTATCAAACTTTCTGGAAGGTGCGCTTCCTGCTTCCTTCTCAGTTTCCGACCAATGTCCTAAGATGTCAGTAAGTATTCGGTAGTTGCAGTAAGTTTTCAACTAATGACTTAATAATGCGTCTTAGGCAAACACTGCTTGTAAAAGGGATGTACGGATACTAACAATCAAGAGTCATGTGAGCTCGAAGTATGGACGAAAAGCTTGAAAGTGGGGGAAAGGCAGTCCGGATCCTCAGAACCCAAACCCTCGTTGCAACTTTTTGGCCGCATGCCTCAAAGGCCCAATTCCTGAACCCTCAACGTCATTCCTTAACCGTTCTTCCTTCCCCCCTGCGCAGTACGGCATGGCTCTCGGGCTCGAAACCCTCGGCGGGCGCGCGTTCGGCGCGGGACAGCTGTCAGAACTGGGGCACGCCACGTACCGCTGCCTCCTCCTCCTCACGCTGATCGCTGCTGTCGTCAGCCTGTGCTGGCTGCAAGCCGAGCGCGCGCTTATTTTCCTGGGCCAAGAAAAAACGCTCGCGCAGGTAAGTGTCGGGATTGAAGAATACTACTACTATGGCAGGAATAACAGGATGACCACCTTGGACCGGGTGGAATCAATTTTGGGGTTAGCTAGTGTGGTACGGGTCCGGAGGAGGTGAATTTCTGAGTAAGGGTTATTGGTGCTACTCAAAGCTTATTGTTCCTGAGGTTCGTTTCTCCTTTCTTCAACCGTCATCTCGCGCTTGATCTCTAAATAGGTGATTTACTCAGCTCAAGCGATGATCTGGACGGGTGTGGTTAAGGCCTGAAGGGCTTTATGGTGGGCATGGGTGTGGAGCGAGTGAATGTTGGGTGTAGGTCTTTAGCGTCAGCTTCAATCTCATCGAAACTTGAGCTTGATTTTTATGTCGCGACACTTCAGGACTAGAAAGCTCAAGGAATAGTAAGCTCAAACCAAACACTAGTAACCTTATCTAGTAAAATTACCTTCGCCGCACCCGTACCCACCCTAACCCCCCAAACTAACCCTACCCGTCCCAGGCTGGTGTTCTTACTATTCCTGAAGCTTACCATTCCTGAACTGTTTCGAGATTTGACAATTCTCTGAATTATGCAGGTTGCGGCACGCTACATGCATTTATTGATCCCCAGCCTGTTTGCCAACGCGTGGACGCAGCCGCTGCTCAAGTTCCTGCAGTCGCAGGGCGTCACGGCGCCCTTGGCCGCCTGCTCCGTGGTCGCCCTCCTCTTCCACGTGCCCAACAACTGGTACGTCTGTACGTCTGGGTGTCTAAAGGTCCACCCGACTCTCAGGTCTCTTCCAAGAAGACAGCACTTCCTTGTTCAGAAAGAGGTCTTCATGAGCGCAATGTGGGGAACGGAGAGTCTGCCCGTTGGGGTTGAAGCCGGCACGGTTCAAAGACGCAACCTCTTCGCCTCCGCTTGTGTTGACACCATGAGTTACATGCGGAATCTGATCATGCAGAGTCGTTCTTTTGATTTTTAAAGACGCTGATCGAAGTCCCAACGCGCACCTCACTTCGACGCCTCCCGTCGCCAGCCGGTTTCCCTTTTTGTCCCTCCTACAGAGCTCCTACCTCACCTTGCGAGCCCAAGCTCGCTCTCGACGCCTCACGTGATGAGCTCAGTGCACTTATCAGAGAAGACCTCACCCATTCACTGCAATTCCCCCTTGCAGGTTCTTCGTCCATTACCTTGGGTGGGGTCTCGACGGCGCGGCGATCGCCACCAGCCTGGCGTACAGCATGATCTTCCTGTGCCTGGCGGGACACGTGTTCACCTCTCCCCGTTACGCGAAGGCGCGGCCGCGGTTTTCGTGGGCGAAGGCCACCAGCGGATGGACGGCCCAGATACGGCTTGGGGTGCCATCGACGGTCATGCTGTGGTGAGAATGGCTGATCTGTGTGATGACCACATTTCTGCGGCACCGTCAAAGTTGGAAGATCAGTCGCTTTCCATGAGCAGACTGCACGGAAGAGCGCATGTCAACAGGGTTCAACTCGAGGGAGAATATCTGCTGCTTGAATTTGTAACACAACCTATCGTGCTTGGCTTGGCACAAATCTAAAGCCAAAAGTCGGGCTCCACGTCTTGATGACTAGAGACTTTCTGAGCCCTTATATATAAACCTTATCCTATGTGTGACAGGAAACGTCCTTTTATATTGGGTTTGTATACAGCTCGCTTGGCTTGTCTGAGAGAGCGGGATCAAGCCACCTGAATAGGTGTCGTTGCCAGCTCAGAAGAGAGGCAAGCGCAAGATGATCTCAGTCGATCGGCTTCTCCTGGGGGACACAATCTGGCCCGTCGATCCGCTTACGAAGAGCTCGTCGAGCTCACCCGCTGTGTTCCTCAAACTTCGCAGTTTGGAGTACTGGGCTTTCGATGCGCTCTACCTCATGTGCGGCATGCTTCCGAACCCTTACCTCCTCGTCTCCGGGCTCTCCGTTGCGTAAGTTTTCAAGGCTTTTCCAGCCCAAGACCGGGTAACCTTCTGACCACGCAGGATATTTTGTTCTCCTCTCACGGAGACCTTATCTGCCTCGATTGAAGTTCCGGTCTTCCTTCTTTCTTGGATCCGAGTCTTAGGGGACTCGGAATCCACCCGCCCGTTAGGTCGTAGCCGATTACGTTCAAGATCAATCAGTAAAATGGAAATTCGCAGCAACATAGGATTAGTGCCTTTTTAAACCCCGGGCGTTGCAGTGCCATGAGATGAAAGCTATCCTAACGAACTTGCGTCGTGTGTAATTTCATGACTCCAAAACGAACAACGGTTCTGCGAGCAATCTTTATGCGGTGGGGTACAAAAACTCGCTCGTCACACTCCGCTTGTTTTCGAGGGCCGCCAATCCCGTAAGAGCCGCGAGCAATCAACGGAGCTCAGAAACTTTGGCACCGCACCCCGGAAGCGTTTCAAATCAGGACACAAATCGAGAAAAAGTTTCAATAGCAATTTGGCGATGACGTCATTTTGCCCCCTTCTTTCTGCAGCATGAACACGGCGTGGCTCATGTCGATGACGTACGTTGGCCTGGGGGCGGCCACGAGGTGAGGGGGATCCCCGTGGATTTGCTTCGAATTGTCACGGGCGAGCCCTAAAGCTCTGGACCATAAAATCCAATTTGCCAATCTGATTCCTGTACTCTACCCGGGAACGTTCGAAGCCGTCAAAAGCATCCCGGGTCAAAGCTTGTTCGTTGCAACGTTCTCAAATTGCTGGATTACCTAAGCTTTCTAGATACCTTCCTGAAGTATGCCTGATCCCTATCTAATCCCTTACACCCCTCTCCTTAAACCCCTGCAAATCCCGTCTCGCAGCACTCGCGTCGCCGCGGAGCTGGGCGCTCGCTCCGCGTGCGGCGCCAAGACGGTCGCGCGCGTCGGCCTGTCGCTCGCGGCCGCGCTCGGGGTGACGGCCTTCGCCATGATCCTGGCGTCCAGCAGATGGCTGCCGTTGATCTTCGTCGAATCGACGAACGGGGAGCTGCTGCGGCTGACGTCAGCGCTGATGGCGTGCGTGGCGGGGCTGAGCATCGTGGACAGCGTGCAGAACAACGCCGGGAGTGAGGCCAGGGGGGAGAAGTTTCGCCTTTATACGTACCCCCTGTGGTACCTACTGGAAGCTCCGCCATCTTTTCTGAGGTTTTATTGGAAGTAACGAAAGGGCCTTCTTCCAAGCGAAGGTCGAAGAATCTGTTTTTCGAGTAGGATTCTCGCTCGGAGGACTAGGATCTGGCAACGACGCGCCAGTGCTTGGATATTTTGGAGCACTCAACTGGTGAATGTGGGATCTCACCGTTGGACGAACACAAGTGAGACAGAAGAACCACGGAAATCCCTTCAAGTTGAGCTTTTTGGGTCGCTCTTTCCGGCGTCTTCGAAGAAAGCAAGAGGGGTTGTCCACGCATCAGACAACCAACGGCTCGTTGTCTGGTCTCGTCTTAAAAGTTCAAACGAAAGAGTTCGCTCCGGCCCTGATATCCGACGGCCCCATTTCCATCTCTCTTGTTTTCCGACGGTTCGTACCGCTGTCTTTCAGGTATCCTCCGCGGCTGCGGCCGCCAGAGCCTGGGTGCTGGCGTCACGCTGAGCAGCTACTACCTGGTCGGGCTCCCGTCGTCCGCCTTACTGGCGTTCCACCTCGGGTTTGGGGTCTGGGTAAGCAAACCGTTGCTTCGGCTTTCGGGTGTGGGTAAGCAAAACGTTGCTTTAGGTTTGGGGTCTGGGTAAGAACGGTTACCCGTTTTCTCAATAACCTCTGGGGCCTCTATCTATTCTACTGCTTGGCTGAAGTAGAACGGAATCAAGATCTTCAGTAGGCCTGAGGAGATGTTTTGGCTCTTTTCGAGGGTCTCACGTCGAGTGCTCAGGTGCAGATAAGAGCAGAACCGATGTCGTTTCCACATTGAGAGTTGCAGGGGGGTTCGTTTCCCGTGTTCGCTGCAGCTGAGAGTGTCTCACTTCAAGACTGATTGAAGGAAGCTTCCTCTGCTTACAAGCCAGACTGATCAGAGCTTGCGCTACCTGGTTCCGGTTTGCTCGTCACTTAAAGTGGGCGTCGGATTTCATAAGCACACTAGTGAGACTGAGTCCTGAGGGCGGGTTGAAGAGGCTAGCTGTGAACTGTGCGATAGACTCAACTCCACTGCAAAAACCGTCCATTTTCCAGATGAGCTCGCGAGCCCTACGCCCACTGCATATCCCCCTGTTTGCAGGGTCTTGTGGGCGGCCTCTGTTTGGCGGTCCTGACCCAAGCCACGTGTCTTACGACCCTTATCGTACGGACAGACTGGAAACACCAGGTGAGAGTCTCGCAATCTGGTGATTTACGTTTTTTAAAGAACTAGAGCGGTGGGCAACCATTGTGATTTCGAAAATTGGTGGTTTACGTTTTCTGAAGAACTAGAGAGATTGTTGACCATCATAAATTCCACACAGCTGGTTGAAAAGGAGGACTTCAATTAGCGTTTGATTGGAGCTGGAGAGGGGTGCGGGCACGTGCGCAGTGAAAGACGGCTTAGCCAGGGCGACATCTGTTTAATAGTGAGAGCATTGTAAGCGAAAGGCGCTTTCGCTGAGGAGGTTTAGGCCCTTCCCAAGATACTGGTGTGGTCTTGAGATACTCGGATCTGGAAAACTCTTGCAGCTTGGACTTAATCTCTCACACCTTTGATTTGAGCGGATATTGCTGCACCTGTGGGCATAGCAAGGTTTGGCTTTTGTTCGCGCTCTAGATGTTCGGGGGGGTGGCTGCAATCCAAATTTCTGCATCCAGAACTAAGAAGTTCAAGAGAGTCTGGCACGAACTTCATGAGGATGACTTGACTTGATACACAAAAAGAGTCCGCTTACGGTGCAATCAGAACGCTAACCTCCAAAGCAGGTCCAAGTTACTCCGTAACCGGCTCTACTCTTCTTTGCTAGCCGTTTCTGATGATCCCTGCGCTCTCCGATTCCATCTGTCTCTGTGAATGAACCGGTATGTAACCGACGGCAATTTCAATATACGGTTAACCTCGACAACCATCAGGTTGCTTAACGGCCTGTGGATGTCTGTTGGACTAAAGGATAGACTGACGTGTTGCAATGGTACTAGAGGAAACCCTTTCTTAACAAGTTCGAAACTTGCAGGTGGAGAGAGCAACCGCGTCGGTCGCTGAGCTCAGCGGGATCGAGGCCCTGCCCCTGTTTGACGAGAAACCGCCCCCGCCCGCTTCCAACACCGCACAATCATCCCTAGAAGCCAAAACATAAACAGACCGCCGCGCAATTGAATCAGATACTCTTGAAAGTTATGTTTCTCGACCACGGAACGTCTTCGCACGCAAATATGCAGCAAGCGAATAAACTGTTGCGCACCCAAGGATGCGCAGGTCTGAGTTTCTATGAGTCTTGTTCGAACTCTGATCTCGTCCTCGAGCTTCCTCATAGCATAGCAAGGGTTGGCGGGGTTTTTGTAAGGGACCTAAAGCAAGGATTGGAATCTTGGAGATCCGACACCGTAGAGGAACGCGAAAGTGCTTCTACTAAGGTCAGAAGCGCACGGATCTACTTTCATGCCAACAAAATGAAAATCCTAGAGGCCGCGCCACCATTTAGCGAGTGGGTTGCGCAGATCTATACGTCCATTTTTCAGCCCAGCAGACGAGCTTACTGCTTTAACTTAGTATCGCACAGATCAACCAAGTGTTGCTGAAAAGGTTATATAATCAAACGCGTAACAAAAGGCAATGGGGTGAAGCCTCTGCAGAAGCATAGTTTATGAAAGACTGGACACAACGAGACCGCGTTTTGCAGCAAGAAATCAAGTTTGGATTGTATGCATCGTGGATGATAGTTCGAACTCCTACTCGACGTGGTTACAATATTGCACGGTATATTATGGCGCCCGGCTGGTCTCTGAAATTCGATTCCAGCACGCAATATATCTTGAATCTTCTCAATTCGCTGGTCATCTTAATTCGCTGGTCCTCATCGCAAAGTCAAAGTTATTTCTGACGCGTGGCGCGTGAAGATTTCATCGTTGCAGCTGTGCGCGCAGTGCATATTCGCATCTGATCAACTACGGTTTTTCAACGCGGTCCGTGATAATCCGAGACAATGTTGCGGTTCGCTTATGCTCATAGCAAGCCTTATAATCCTACTGTACTTTTTTGATTTCGTTCAATCGCTGTGCAGTCCACATGCTTAATGGGCTTGATCTTGGCCACGCACTATTGGCTAAGTCAGAAGAGGAATCTTAGATCTGCTCTTCTCTGTAACGTCCCGGCACGCATCTGATCAAATATCGACATTCTTCTTCCATCCACCTTATCTTTACATTTGGACCTCAGAGAACCCCGGATCGTCTAGCAGCTTCTTCTCCATGCTCAGACTGTTTCGTCGCGAAGTCGACGACTGGATCTCGGCGGGGGCTTTCACGACCGAGAAACCGCCGCTCATGGCTATATGCACGCCGTTGCCGGCCATGGTTGACGTCGGAAGGGACGACATCGTGATCTGCGGCGAGATTATGGAATCAGATCGCGCTTAAATCGTATCTTTCCTGATTGACAGCAGATTGAACTTCCTCTCGTTTTGTCAGGCTGAGTTGTGCTTGCCGCGAACTGCAACTTGTGATGGCAAAAGGCGTTGTCTACATGAAGCTGTGCGCTAAAGATAATTTCCGCCCGTCGCGGAGATGACCCACGTCTACGGACTCTACATTCAATGTCAGCACTCCAAATCCTGGGGCTACTACAAAAAGCGGCTACTACATTGTGTTTGAGGCAACCCGAGTCAATTTGAATTTGCGGAAAGCTTATGCTTGGATCTCACGCGTGACCAACATATGAGCAGACCAAACCGCCTTTCACCAGAAATCTTCCGCTTTCGTCTGTACGCCTCTTTCTTTCATGTGTAACGATCAACTAGATGCGACCTGAGAGCTTTGAGAGAAGCCAGGATGAGCTCTCTAGACCTGCTCGGAGGGTCTCACCATGGAAGACCCGTTCTCCTTCTGCGCCTTCACCGGCTCGTCGTCGCTCGTCGAGAACGCCTTGCCCCCCTCGCTGCCCGCGTCGGTGTCGCTCATGATGCGCCCCTGCTTCGGGAAGTTGCACGACTGCGCGCGTGGAACGAGTTTGCTTTCACAACGCTGATGAGCAACTTAATTGAATGTACGCGCTTCCAATGAATCTTAGGCGGGCAGGCTGGGAACGACGTTCCCGCATGCTTTGAGGCCGAGTACGAGAAACCAAGATGGCTACGAAAGGAGACTTCTGAATGTGGCGAGGTATTTCAACAGATCTTTTGAAGAAGCGCGCAAAATTAATGCAAGATCTGGCTCGACAGATCCATATCTAGCCCTAGAATTTGCCCACGTGCTCAGCAAAGCAGATTCAATGGAGAACAGCTGTCGCTTACCTGCTTGGCAAGGATCGGGGTCAGCACGCACGTCCCAATGATGAGCACTCCCCACCAGATCCACCAGTAGTCCAGGGTTACGGTAACCCCGACCGTAATGAAGAGGAGCCATAGCTGGAGGGGCCCCCCGAAGACGACGTAATCCATGAATTTGTACCCCCCCGGAGTGTAGACCATCAGGTTAGTCGGGCAACCTGCGGGTTGAGGACGAGGGTTAAGAGACCGTAACAGGGTGGGAAGATGCGCTCAGTGAGTGTGGAGAACCACGGAAACTGGAAAGGGAACCTGGGATCTCATTCTGGCGTCTTGAGTCCCTGTTACTTCTCCGAATTCACATCACGTTATGCCCGTACCAAAGGAATCTCGCGTCTTCCTTGCCCGCAGATCAAGGCGACATAGCTTCAAGCGGAAGCTTGTAGCTTTGGCCGCAACTTACTTCGTACGATGCATCCGATAGAGCGATTTGTTCCCATACTTTGCTGGAAGTGCTGATCCAGCCGGCTTGACGCCGAAGCACTTGATTTCTTTTGGTTTCGAATCCGTATCCAGTCTGTACGAAAATAACCTCCTTTGGGCCTGGACAAACCCGCTCCTAATTATCTTTCAAACTGGAAAATTGCAACATCTTAAGCCATCGCGTATCTTTTAAATCTGCGCTCGCCTGTGGGCGTCATGAATCCTTCGAGCGTCGAATTCAACATCCTCTGCCATCGTCTCTTCCAAAGCTCCCCCTTACCCGTGGAAATCATGCATCCCCCGAACAGCAAAAGTCAACATCCTATGCCATCGTCTCTTCCAAAGCTGCCCCTCACCCGTGGGCGTCATGAAGGAAGCGGAGGACGCCATCATGAGGATGTACGCGAAGGGCCTGAAGTCGAGGCCGTTGAGCTGCGCGGCGCTGAGGGCGACCGGGAACATGATGGTCACCGCCGCGCTGTTGGTGATGGCGCACGAAAACACGGTCGTCGCGATGTAGGTCGCCGCGATCAGGCCCACCTGAGCGGGAAAAAGATCGCAATGTAAGCTTCGGCCGTTCGAAGGTGAAGTTGCGAAAGGCATGCAGTCTTGAGATGATTTGGGGCTCGGGTATCGGGCTAGATCTCGCAGTTGGAATGAATTGTCTCGGAAGATAGGCCATGACTTGCAGTATGCTTCGGAAGTAGCGCGTGTTGCTCAGACGTCTGGTCTTACGAAGAGGAGGAGCGTTTAATCAGTATTTGCATGATTATTCTGGATCAGGAACAGGAAGGAAGAAAGTTTTGAGACTTAGCTTCGATCAATATGATAGAAGGATTGCTAGCTATTGCGAGCTTTTAGAAAGCTGTCGCTAGTCTGGTTCTGGCAGGCGAGCTAACTCTGCAGCTCTTTGAACATCAAGCAATCTTTCGCCGGGTCCAGCTCGTGAGCTCACCGAGCCGAAGGGCGACGCCATCGACATCATGGCCTTGGCAACCAGGTGGCTCGCGCCGGACCGCACGAGCGCCTCGCTGATGCCGAACGCGCTCGCGATCATGATCAGCACGCCCAGCTCAATGGACTCGCGCGCGTCGCGCACCGTCAGGCACCTGTGCGCGCAAGATTGACGGCCCTTGAGCGCCACGCTTCGAATGACACACACGTCGCCCAGTTCGTAGCGTGCAGACTCTAGACGAGGAAGTAATGGCAGTCGAGATGGTGGGCGGAGGGAACTTCTGCCGCACTGACAGTTGCATACTGCGGCCTATCTCTGAGACCTGTCACTGGACGGAGTGTAGCGTACTTCAGCAAGGTCGAGTTGACAGCTTTCAAGACTGCTTTTCGGATGAAAGGAGACGGCGTCATCTCTTTATAGTACTTACAAGGGGAGGAGAAAAGAAGGGTTCTTCCCGATGAAGCGAACGAATAAATTGACCACAAAACGAATCAACCATCGCCGGACCCGCAGAAACACAATACCTCCATTCAAGCAGAGGGCGATTGAAAATTCTAGAGCCTGTTAACTCCTGAAAACTGACCAAAGACTTTATCCAAGCGGCCGGCCCTCACTTGGTGAGCAGCATGGCCGCCACGGAGAACAGCCCGCACGTGATGAGGGGATAGCCTATGGCGCTGAAGATGACGAGCAGCAGGACGAAGACCGCGGCGTAGGGCGCCTTCTTGCGCTGGATGGCGGTGAAGCCGGTCAGCTGGGATACGAGCGCGAAGGTGGAGTTGTTGCGGTGCTTGGCGACGAAGCCCGAGGAGGCGACCATGAGCAGGGAGTCGCCGGCGTCCAGCACGATGTCGCCGATGCCGCTGCAAGAAAGTGAGCGGGGCTCGGTTAGCGAGGGCGACCGGCGTGCGAAGACGGAAGAAATAGGGCGATTTTGTGGCTTTGGTCTCCGCCAATTGTAGCAAAGAGAGCCTTCTTGCGAACCGTTTAAGGAGAGACTGCGGAAAAGTCGCTTGAGGCGCAGATTTTCTACCTGTAGATGGTCGTTTGCGCCTGAAAACGCTGCTGTGTTTCATTACCCTGGCTTTCCGACTTGATTGTCGCCCGTCAAGTGTTTTCGTTTCACTTCACCGCAACGAAGTTCGTACGCCAGGGCGGCGGAACGATGCACAGAAAATATAGCACGGCATCTGCGCTAATCCCTTTGCCGCAATCCGGTAGCTTCTCCAGAATAAACTTAGAGCTTCGTTCCAGTCCTTTCGAATCGCGTTGAAGCTCGTGACCTTCACTCAAAGCGGAAAACAAGGTACCCCTGATCAAAGAACACAAAAGGATCGGCCATCCAGGATCAAAGACTGTCGAGCTTAAGTTTTGCCTACCTGTTGATGCGCGTGCCGTGCCTGTGCACCGCAATGATGATGGCATTGTAGCGCGTGCGGAACTGGAGGTCCCGGATCGTTTTGTCCACCATCGGGGACCGGCTGGCCACCACCGCCTCCACCAGCACGTCGTCCGTGCGCAGCTTGTTCAGGTCGATCGAGTCACCCCCCTACAAGTGCAGAATAAGAAGATTATTTAAATCTCATTTTCTGTCACGATATCCGAATATGATGACGTCTTGCCGCAGCTTGTTCAGGTCGATCGAGTCACCGCCCTGCGGTTGCAGAATGAGTTGTTTCCGTCAATTTCAATGTTTCTTGTGTCACGGTATCATAGTGAAATCTTGCCGCAGCTTGTTCTGGTCGATCGAGTCAACCCCCTACAAGTGCAGACTAATCTGTTTCGTTCATCTCCCCTTTTCTAGTTTCATGATATCATAGTGACGTTTTGCCGCAGCTTCTTCAGGTCGCGAGTCGCCGCCTTACAATTGCAGAAAGAAAAAGGTTCCGACTCTAGTCACGTGACTCTTTTAGTTACATTTTGCCGCAGCTTGTTCAGGTCGATCGAGTCGCCGCCGTGCACAAGGGGGGGCTGCGAGTTGCGAAGGAGTCGTCTGAGCTGCGCTTATAGACCTTGACTTCGGTTTGTCGCTCGAAGATTGTGCTGTGCATTAAGGCTCGTGGTTTGTTGTCTGCGTATGTAAGGAACTGATACCTTGGCACGCCGCCCGAGAGCAACAATCAGGACCGATCGCCTTGCCGTCTGTGGCTGGATTAGCAGTTATACCTTCTCTTTAAAATTTACTCTTTTGTACTATGCGTTTCAGAAGCATTTCGGGCCTGTTCAGGTCGATCGAGTCGCCGTTTGTGGTGCGACCAGATGAGAGAATCGTCTGTGTTTTCTCGATCCATTCCTGCCTGCGCTTCGAGATTTGTCCGATCTAGGCTTTCAGGTCAAAGGAGTCGCCGGCCTGCTTCGCAGGTGGTCGTGACGGATCTCTTTGCTATAATCTTACCCTTCTCTTGCTATTGCTGTCGAGGAGCATCCCATGCTGTTCAGGATTGGCTTGTGAATCTTTGCATGTTTTGTCAACAGAAGCAAGACTCCAGTTACGAAGAAGCGTTTGACAACCTCTTTCAACCTCTTTTTTTCTTTCTTTTGTGCTGCCAGTCTAGTCAAACGACACTTTTCCGGACACAGAAGCACTTCAGATAGGAAAATAGAAAGCGGGATCCCTATGTCTTGCTCCCCCCTATGTCAAAGTCCCTTTGTCTTCATTGTATCTTACACAATGCTCAGAGAACCAGCCAAAAAAAACAAAAACCAAGTTTCTCACCTCTTCTTCGGACAGCGTCAGTCCGTCGAGTTGCGTGAGCGACAGGATAGAATCGATCACGCCCGTAAAGTGCAGCCTGTCTCTTGGGAGCAGAACGAAGTCTGCCCCAGGGCTAGGGATGGGAAAACCGTCGCGTTCGACTTGGACCAATGAGAGCCCTGGCTGTCTCCGTATGCCGGACTGCTCGATCGTCTTGCGACAAAAGCTGCACTTTGGCTTGATCTCCAGAACGACGTTGTACTCCCTGTGGAGGATGTTGGTTACTATCTCAGAAACGGCCTGTCTACTGACGTCAACCAGAGCTTGAGTATACGTTCAAAACCTTCAGAAGACACTGAAAACGGGGCAGTCTGTATTTCAAAGAAGACGTGCGGAAAAGCAGTTGCACCGACTTGAAAATCAGAGAGAGATGCAATCATCACTTTGGTAGGAAGGGTGCTGGTTCAGATCATCGTGGGTACTGTATACTACGATGTCAAGCTCTCTAAATCAGTGTGAAGATGCCTGCAGCAAAGCCTTGAACAAGGGACGTGGAAAAGGTGACTGCAGATGTGCTCTTTGCTCTCGTGGTTGCAAATGTGATTATGAGTCTTCCCTCCAACCACTGCTCAACGAAGGGCCATGAAGAGCACCGAAGCATCTACAGCAGGTCCTTTGCCTCCTATCCTATGCTCAGCCGGTGATTGCTTGAGCGCTCTACACAGCAAAGCACCTCACATTGTGATCTCTGGCAGCTCTCTGTTCCCTTCGCCTCAACAAATTGGTCAGATATAGCTTGAGCGAGTGTCAGACTCCAGTCATCATGCACATTCCATTGTCTATCACTCACACAGATTCGACCTTCTGAGTCATTCTGCTCAAAAATGAACGTTTCTCACCTGGCATTGATTGTTGAGCTGCTCATTGCCAGCCTGTCTGGAAGCAGCTTGCCTCCAAGCGCCACGATGTAGAAAATGCCAGCCACAGTGACAGGAATGCCTACGATCCCCAACTCGAACAGATTCATCTTCATCTCTGGGACTGCTCGATTTGCCAAGGAGTACACAACAAGGTTTGTGCCAGATCCAATCAGGGTCCACGTTCCACCGTATAGCGCAGCAAAACTGAGAGGGAGGAGGACCTTAGATGGCGCCATGTTCAACTGCAGGTCCACAGGACCAAGCACATCAGCTTCTGACTCCTCCTTGAGTGGTGACTCAAATTCCCGTCACGAACAACTTGAAAGCTGAGATCTAATAGCAATTAATCATCAAAAGAGCCTTCTGTGATTCAAAAAGCATATGCCATCACGTTACACAATACAGAACGAAGATCAGGTGCGGCTGAGATTGATTGCTTGCTTCCTGTAGACATTATTCTGTTCTTGCTCCAATTTCAAGACTCACCCTTCTTGCATAGTCGGCCACCGGCGGTATCATCATTGCAACGAGAGGAATGTTGGCCAGGAATGCAGAGAAGACAGCCACCGGAATCATGAACTTCATGAGCACCCAGACTAGACTCTGGCCCTTCGCTACTTCTCCGCTCTTAGGGTCTGGCTGAGACTTGGTCTTGAACATGATTTTGCTCACATACTCCAGACCTCCGGACATTTCAATACCTGCATACCACAAGGGTTTCTGATCTTTGAAGGATCGTCCAATCTGAGCGATAGGATTCATTGGCCATTGATGGCAGCAAAAACTTCAAAATTCATGTGAAGCGCTTGGAATTGCAATCAGCTCTCTGTGCAACACTCAATTTGCCAGAGACCTAAGCGCAAGTGGAGCTGCCTTCCCCAAGCCTTTGTTCCATCTTTGCAGTTGATCCTGGAATGAATGTCTTGGCCATTGATTCATTAGGCAACGCCAATGTCTCACCTTTTGCAACGATGAAGAGCACTCCTATTGATAGCATAGCATTGTCTGAAAACCCATGCAACGCTTGCTCCACGTTGAGGATCCCCAGAGGAATGAAGCAGATTAGCGTTCCCATCATGATCATGTCTGGAGGTCCAGCCTCTAGCACCAGGCAAACCAACATCCCAAAGATCATCCCCAGGCATGTCCATGCCTGCCACCCCTCCGCCATTGCGTTAGCCCCTGCGGCGGACCAGATGATACAGAAACGTTGTCAACTCCCTGTTTTCTGGACAGGAAGCTCAGCTCTGGGAACCACGGTCTGCGCCGTTTAGACCTGTCTTTAACGCCGGAACTGCTTGCAGCTCCAGCCTAGAGAGTGGCAGCCCCTTGCAGGGAGCGGATTCCTTCGCTGTCTGTCATCATTCAGTTGTCTCTGGCATTCAATGAGGTGGTTTCTTTCCTATGATCTCATGCGCAAACCCAGAAAATGATCTCGAGATTGAGCCTCTGTATTCTACTCTATCAATTTCCTGCCTACTCAGGCTACTGGGGGGCTGCTGCTGGCACCAGGCGGGCGAAGGACTAATTCAGCGTATCAAGTCTTGATTAGGTACTCTGAATCATGTGGACAACAATACAGTAGTCAGGATGGACTTTAGCGGTCCTTTGGATAATATAAGTACAATCTGGAAAAATGCAACAGTGGGAATGTAGGGACGCTGAGCTCGCCCGTAGGTAGGTACACCTAACCTAACTTAAGGCTTTCAAAGTAGGTATTCAGCACCTGCCCATGCTGTGACCGTCAGTGTACACAATACGGTATGAATCATTCAAAGAGGCATTCTGCATTGCCGTGCATGTCAAGAAGTCAGCAAAGTGGTTAACCGATCGTCACCTGCACCGTTGGATCTTTTAGTCGAAGTCATCGGACGACACCCGTTCAATGCTCAAGCTACACAAAGTCATGCGCGCGCAACACTCAAACCAATCTGAAACGTAGAGCAGATGTGGCCCCCACGGCCGCCACACGACACCGTACGACGGACGTGACGGACGGTCGCCGGCTGTCTTTGTGGCGGCCGCGCGGGGCCATGCACGCTCGCACGCAGCTAGAGGCTCCTCATGGCAAAACGAACAAGCTAAAATACGGAAACGTCGGGAGGCGTATTCAGCCGCATCTGAAATTAGCGACTGGAAACCACAGGGTACCGCTGATTCGGTCGCTGCAAAAATCTTACGACGTCACTGCTGCAGCGACGTTGACCTGGATTTTTGCAACATCAGGGTCGCCGCGACGGCCACGTGGGCTACTTCAACTCAAACGCCCTCTTTAAAGATCAGTCCGGTCGTAGTTTCATGTATGGAAGCACACACCTTCTAACAAACACTACACTTGTATTTGCCGTGAGGAGACTATGGCCGCACTGGCTACGGCGTTACAAAAAGGGACCATCGACCAAGCACGGCAGGCGCTTGAACAAGATATTGCACCTACCATACATGCTGGCGCGCTGGCGACAATTTTCATGTGAAGTGAGTCACTGCACTGGTCATTGAGACGGTATGCCAATCTATTCAACAAGACGATGTAGATCGTTAAGCATTGTTGTGGCACACTTTTCGAAGGTCTAATGTGTACAATCGAGCTGTTGTCCTCTTATGCTGAGATGCAACTCCATTGTGGAAGAAATCAACATTCAGCGCATTCCATTCGTGCGCGAAAAGACCCCAGTGTGAAAGGGCTGGAGTCCGCTATATTTTTAATTGATGAGAGCAACTCGTTATGACAGCTCGTAACTCTCAGCAAAGAAGGAGTCCTAGCCTGAACAAAGAGACGGTCCGACCAGAAAACTCAAAAAGTAGGGCATCCTTCACTTGAAAAGTAAAAGGCGTCCAACTTTTTAGGTCCATCCAGCCCTCCTACTCCCTTCTCTTTCCGGAAACAGCCTCCAAGTACATACCGTAGTGCCCTGCTATATCTAAGCTCTTGCGGACTTTCCTATGTGCACGAACTTCAAAGATTCTGCATATGCTACTTTCACTAATCCTCGATCGACGATACTGGCCTTTCAACTGAGAATTTGATCCGCTGAAAACGTGTATATAGACTGAGTTTATGATGATCTGGATGCACGCAACCAGTATAGCGCCCCCAGCATTGCCACACTGCCCGCAAGTGCACTCGACCCAGCCAGTACTGGCAGTGACCAACTCGACTCTAGGAACGCATTTCGGTTCGCAATCTGCACACAAAATGAGGATTGAATGTCAAACCTTGTGTAGCTTAAGTGGAGTACCCACGCATTTCCTTGGTCTCTACCTTTGGAGACCCTGTTTCGTTCTCAATTCGGTCGAGGTGCAGCAAAGGTCTGACAAACCGCGAGCAAACCTTCCATCAAGTAGATTGGGTCCTCGAAGCTGTCTCAGAAAGTCCGTCCAGATTCGGTTCCGCTCAGCGTAAGCATCGAACTTTCAACTCTTTGACACCGGCATTCCAAGTTGTAAGGCCACATTCACGGCCCCTTCAAAGCAGACATGCCAGACGTGCCTACCTTCCCGGTCAAAAGCATTCCGCAAAGCCTTGTTTCTACGCATATAAGGAAAAGGTTTGAAAAGGTGCCACGTGGCTCACCTGAGACCGCACCACCTCCTTGGTTCTCTCTAGTTCCCGTGCCAGGCCGCTCTCCTTGCTGCGCACTTCCGTCAGCGATCGCAGTAAATCTAGCTTCTCCTCAGCCCACTCGCGGCTTTCTTTTTTGAGGCCATCGGCCGCACGCAGCGCCGCGCCTAGTTCTTCCTCCTGCGACAAGGGAGTGATGACGTCAACAAGCCGAATCCGAGAGGAAGGTCGACGTACGGGTCCGAGCGAGAACCATGTTTGGAGGTTTCTGAGGGGCTTGCCGCCAGCATGTCCGCAGGACGTTCAAAATGTCAGATAAAATATTCTACCGCGTGTATATGCTTGCTCAGAGGAAATCCAGTGACCTCGAAAAGATCCCTGCTGGTCCAATCTATCCGCTGACGTAGTCGGATATGAAACAGAGCCAGCTTTGAATCTCTGTCGAGTATTAGTCACTGCCATCGCTTTAGAACGACCAAGCAGGAAAAGTCAGCCAAGTGAAGTGCATGAACCGTTTATCGCTACCTATGAGTGTCAAGACTTGGGAGACCAAGAAAATTGGTGGACGCAAGAGCCCCGTATCGGCAGAGCTCAATTCCACTGAACAGCTGGACCAGGGTCGAAGACACAAACGTGCACTGAACGCCTGGATATAGCAGCTTAAAGAACGAGTGCATAAGAGGGCACCCTCACAGTTTCTTCGATAACAACCTATTTACCTTTTTGGCTCGTAAGGAAGAGGAGGGCACTAGTTTAAATCTGCTACCTGCCGTACTTTCTCTACACCTGTTCCAAGCTCTCACCTTTTTCTGCAATTGCACCTCCAGTGCCTCCCTCTCTTTTTTCGCCCTCGCCGCAGCGTCTCCCGCTTTTCCCTCTGCCGCTGTCAACCTCGCCGCACTCTCCTCCCGCAACTTCAGCAGATCCGTCCGAAGCGCTTCTTTCGCCGTTTCCGACTCCCCTTGCACTGCCCGCAGCTTCTCCGCTTCAGCACTTTTGACGCTCAGATCCTTCGCCAGCTTTTGCTTCTCCGCATTAAGCGCCTTTGCCTTATCTCCTGCAGCTTTCTCTCGTTCCCCTGCTGCCTTCTCAAACGCCGCTTTTTCTTTCTCCACCGCTTTTACTCGCCCCTCCAGTGCTTCCTTCAGCTTGTTCAGCGTCT